TTTTTTTGTTTCCCCCCCCCCCCCCCCCCCCCCTCTCCTCCTCCCAAAAAAGATTGGGGAGCGGGGGGGGGCGGGGCTTGCTTGGCAAGGAAGGCTCCGCTCTGTCAAGTCATCGCAACCTTCTCACCCACTAAGCGGATCTTCGGCCGGCCTCTCTGTGCCGCTCTCCGCCCCTCCCACTTCCTCCTTCACTCCCGCTACCCTCATGCGCCGAGTGCACAGTAAAGCTGAAAAATCAAAGCCGATGCTCAATCCTACGATGGTCAGCCTGCCCGCGGGTGATGCAGCGACCTCCTTCCCCGACCCCTTGGTCCGTCCCCCCCACGCAGCGGACCACAGTGGGCGCTCCTATTGCGGCCAAGAGCTGGCAATCCACACCCCCGGAGTTCTCAATGCGCAAGCCTATCCATCGTGCCCGTCCAGTGCTGTGCCGACTCGCCAGGTACACAAGTGGGGCGCCACTCCAAGAACTAGTTTCTGAAAACAGTGGGGTGCCAGGGCGGCGGCGGAGGGGGTGCTTCCCCACCAACTGCGTCCCCCTCCCCACCGTCAACATCGTCCATTTCAAACGCAACACCACTGTTACGAAAGCGGCCAAGACGAAGGAGGCACGGATCCCAACAAGGATGATCGGGGAAGAATGTGAAGAGCTCTATAATGAAATGAGATTTCTTCACAAAACCTCGTCAGGCTATGAAATTCATCATGGGATTCGGCTGTGGGTGCCCCACTCTTGGACGTGCCCCATTCTTGGAAGTAGGAGTGGGGGGGGGTGGAGGCTTATTTTTTTCGTTCGTCAATTCAAGGTGGATATGGTTTCGAGCTTGGTCCCGACCTCCACTGGTGGCACCACCTTCCACACCGGCAAATCCCCATGCAGGCTCCCTGTGCTGCTTGCGCCGTCGTTCGTAGGCTGCCGAGGGACGCTCGAGTTGATAGGAGGGTGGGGGGGAGGCGGGCCGCTTGGGCTTCCGCGGGTCATGAGCTGCTGGTTGGCCTGGAAAAAACGAGAGGGAGACGGAAGGAGGGGGGGGGTTCAGCGTCTTGATCTGCGTTAAGGCGTTGCCCACTCTGTTGAATTTTCGAAAAACTGGCGCAACGGTCGAAACACTCCGGAAGGCACCTTGATTGCGGTCGCGAACTTCTCGAGCATGTGATAGAAGACGGTCTCCATGTTGTGCAGCTCGAGGAAGACTGAGGTCCGGCGGGCGTCCTTTGAGCCCTGCAGGAAACTGAAGTCGAACTTTGTAGCCTGCAGTACTTAAGAGTTATGGAGGGAGCGGAGGGAGAGACGGAAACCGCTTTAGAACGGGGCCTTCATCTCCCTCCAGTGCTTTTCCCCCAATCTGCATTTAGAGGGGGCTGCCGCACCTGTTGCATATTCTTCCCCAGCACCTTCATCGGCCTCGTGACGAAATACGTGGCGATAACGGCTAAAATGACCATGGCGAGGCCGACGAAGAACGCGGCAAGAATTGCTTTCTCCCTTGTTGATTCAAGCGTGCCCCACAGGTCGGTCTTCGGGATCGTTAGCACCAGCACCCAGCTGAGCCCATTCTGGTCGCTGATGTACTGAGTTGAGATGAAGTAGTCGACCCCGTTAGAGCTGAAGCTTGACGTGATCGCGCCTTGGAGATCCGAGGGTGAGAGTGTTGAAAGGAAGCTACCCATGTCCTGTGTGTGAGATGGAAAGGGGGGGGGATGAGGGAGTTTGCAGGGAGGGTGGGGGATCCAGGGTGGATGAGGGGGGGCAATTGAGGAAAGGGGTCTTCACTCACCCTCACGACCGGATTGGGAGACGCCGAGGCGTAGTATTGGGTTCCGTTGATAGAATAGAAGTCCGTATAGTTCGTATTCGTAGCCATGAGGAGGCCGTTCGTGTCCCTGAGTTGTCTTATTAGTTTTTGTTGCAATCAACATCTCCGAACGAATGCCCCTCCCCAACCTGCTATCGCCCTCTCACTCTTTTTAGCTTTCGTACATGATCGCTAGCACGTTATTCGGCGTCACCTGGACGTTGCTCAGGAACCCACCCTGCAAAAAAGAAACGTGTCACATTGAAATGCGGTTCGCCTTTCTTCGTCCCCCATCTACTCTCCCTCGCCGCTTCTTACCAGTAGAGAAAGACTCATCGAAACATAGTGAACGAGGTACGGCGGCTCGCCCGGGACCGACGTGTAGAGTGGCATGCCGTACCTGAACAAATCGACATGGAAAGATTCGGGTTGTGGGCGCGGAACAATAGCGAGGCAAAGAAAAAGCACCCCCCCCCCCCCTTTTTTCTCCGAAACGTTTACAAGGAATGGATAGTGTTTACCATTGAGGGACGTAGAGGTTCATGATTAGCTCCTCTACAGCGGCGAGAAAGATGGGGGCCGCCCAGGCGCCATGGCCGGTGGAATCCACGAGGCCTGGGGCCGCGATCTGGGGGAATAGTGGGGGGGGTGGAGAAAAAAGAAAGGTTAGCATCCTTCTCGGGCAGCTAGTACGGTCCCCCACGCTACACATCCCCCCCCCCTTCTCCCCTGCAACTTACAAACGGATCCGCGAAATTACTAGGGTAGGGCATCGGCCCCTGACCCCCAAAGAAGTTGATCCCCGAGAAGTTCTTAGTCATGAAGGCTGAACCGTTCACATAGAGGTAATCGACCGGGCAGATCTCGAACACCTTAGCGCCAGTCGTGGGGTCGATTGTGGTGATGTCTTGAAAGATCGGGCCGAGGCCCGGTGCCAAGACTATTACATCTGTCTGTTTACATAAAAAGATAAAAGTATATCATTTGTAGGGTGTAAAGGGTGCTTTGGTTTTTTAGTATGTGTGCGGCAGTGTACCAGGGGGTGGGGGCGGAGCGCAACCCCTCCCTCCCCTCCTTCATGCTGACATCCCCCCCGCGCCCCATGCTTCCTTCCGTCGATAGCGCTTCATACGAACACTTTGATAATGTGGCTGTCGACGTTGGAGCCCTCCACTAGGTCCTTCCGCATGAGGCTCGTGCAAACAAACAAAAGCGCCGGGGCAAAAAATGAATCGTCATCACAGGAGCAGCATCCCCGTGTCAGAACCTTCCTAACCCGCAAACCTGACGGTGTTCCAAGCCCCCCCCCCCCCCCCCCCCCATCCTTCTCTCGGATCGGAGGTGAATAGGGTTGAGGGAGGCTTTGGCCCTCGTTCTTGTTCACCGCCAACAGCGGACGGTGGACTTTCATGCGGGATGTGACATTCAATTGAGGGTTGTGGAACATCATATATTTATTTGTGAGTTGCTTCTCAAGCATGGTTGGTTTAGTGGCATAATTACCGCCTGCCACCAGATGAGTTCGCGGTAGACCCGGGTTCGATTCCCGGACCATGCATACACTCCTTTTTAAAACAGTTACTCTATAATGTTAATTGGTTTGCAATTCCCCCGCATCTTTTGCTTTTAGCTCCACCTCCAAGCGTCGTATTATCCCCCGCATTTCCTTACTTTTTTCCCCACCCCTTCGTGTTCACCAAAAACAACCGGCAGGCGGGGGATGAATTTTTCAATAGCAGAACAAAGTGGAAACTTGATCAGCCAGCTGCACAGTTCAGTAGGAAGGAGGGCGCCTTCGAACACCTTTACTGAGTGTCTTTGATGATTGCTTCACACGGAGTTGTACCTCCCCTTACAAACTTCCCCCCATCTCCCTCTTTCCTTTCAGAATATCTTCTTCCATGCGGTTTCATTTCTCAATTCAAAACAGAGCACCGAAGAGCGAAGTAGACATCAAGATGCGGTCCGACTTTGTCAATTCTTCCTGACGTAGATCGAGTCAGCCGAAGTGTTAATCGATGGATTTACAGGGGGAAAGGCGGGCGGAACAAGTCTTGGGTGAAACCCAGAGTCGAGGTCTGAGGAGTTGGTTACAAAGAACCAGGGGGGCAGGAAGAAAAAAAGAAACCTAAGCGAAGGATTGACATCCTGCGTCTGTCGGGTGCCGGGACTTGGCGGGGTGAATGAACAGTGTGACTTCATGGAACGGGCAGGTCATATGCCCCCCCCCCTCCCCTCTCCTCCATCCCCATCCAGGGTGGAATCCAAATCGCCAAATGCTAGTAGATCATTAGCTGCTTCCTGGTGCCCGAGCGATACCTCCTGATAATCCCCGAGGTCCTTTCACAGTC